AACAACAACAATAATATACACTCAGAAAGAAAAGACTTCAAACAGAAACCTGAACAGAAATGTGCAGTGCAGTACTTTTCACAGTAACCAAATGGCAGAAACAACTGATATGTCAATCAACAGGTACATGAATAAACAAACTATAGTAATATATACAGTGGAATATTATTCAGCCATAAAGAGAAATAAGTCTAGATGCTTGCTACAACATGGGTGAACCTTGAAAAATACCATCATTTTGAACAAAATTAACCCATTGCAGTTAATTTGATTCCAATTACAGAGACTATAGAATATGGCAGGACTGCCTGATAGGGTTTCTAAGACTGTAAATATTCATAGGAGCAGAGGGCTTCATTTTCCCTCCTTGAAGGGCTGGTGACCTGGAATCACTATCTTTCAGTTTGTAGGCTTCACCACTATGCTGCTACTGGGGGGCCTTTGAGTGAAATTAGTTGTTGCAAATGGACAAATACTGTATGATGTAAATGACATGAAATAAGTATATATATAACCACTGTCAACAAGCTGTTTATTAGTGATTACCAGAGACGGGAAGGAAAGAAAAAAACTACAATAACTGTATTGATAAAAATACAAGTAGCTTAGAAATACATACGTAAATGAAGTCAATTGACTTTTGACTGGCAAAAGTAATTCAACAAAGAACAATCTTTATGGCAAAACAGTGCTGGAATTAGTGGCCCATACACAAAAGCGTAAACTTAGAATTTATACTTTATATAAAAACTTAAAATGGACTGCAGATCAAAAGGTGAGAAAGAAAACTTCTAGAAGGAAATTATCAGCAAAAACCTTTAAAAATCCAAAACATAATACATGAAAAAAGAAATTAAGTTGGACTTCATAAATTTAAAAACTTAAGTTTCATGAAAAACAGAATGAACAGCTAAGCCACAGACTGTGAGACAATATCTACAATCGTATATAATGAAAGACTTGGTTTCAGAATGTATAAAGAACTTTTAAGATTGAAAAATATACAATCTAATTAAAAACAGGAAAAAGATCACTTAAGAAACTACGCAGATGTTTGAAAACAAACACCCCACACCCCCCCGCCCCATGTAAAGATGCACAGCATCCTTAGGAAAATGCAAACTAAAATCACACCGAAAAATGAATGGGAAAAATACAATAAAAAACCCTAAAAACAAAATACCAACACTGGCAACAAATGAGAACAAAAATTCAGAATAGCCAGTGGTATAAAAAAAATAGCACAGTAACTCTGGCCCTTTTTTATGAACTTACACTTATAATAGTGCTCATTAACCAGGCTCTTAAATATTTACTCAAGTAATTTGAAAACTTATGTACACACACACACACACACACACACACACACACACACACGCGCGCGCCTCAAACCCACACATGCAAATTTTTAGGCGACCTCTGGTGGCCCAGTGGTAAAGAGCTGTATTGTCAGCCCAAACGCAGTTAGAATCCATCAGCTGCTCCTAAGGAGAATGAGCAGTCCCCTGTTTAATTTACAGCCTCTGAACACCCAATGGAGGGTCAGTTATCAGGTGGTTTCAGTTCAACATAACAACATGAATGTTTACAGTAGCTTTATTCACAACTGTTAAATACTATAGTCAATGTTCTAAAGAACATGGTTGCAACCATAGAACAATTATTAGCATTTTGTCTCGTTTCATGCAAAGAACTATCTTATGTACTACTTTTCTAAATGCTCTGTTTGACATAAGATAGAAAATACTGCCACAGAGATAAAACACTTACCTTGATACCTATCTATGGACATACACACTGGGGAAAAGGAGACTCAGGAAAAAACAAAAAATACTGCTATTGTACATGGCTTTCTTATTAACACAGTAATAAAGCAGTATTATAAATAACTAAGCTCATCTTCAAGTTTTAAAAATTTCATTGTGAAAAACCACATAAAATATTTGTCATTTTAACCTTTTTAAGCATATAACTTATAGACATTAATTACATTTACTACATTAATAACTATCACCCTATCCATTTCCATACATTTTCAAAGCTCATTTTGAGATGAGTTCTTTTACTTACCTGCCTTGTTGTCAGTGTCCTCTGAAGGCAAACACATATTTTCATCAAGCTGGCACTTCCTTGAAGAAACCACTCTACCTGCTGAATCCTGAAAACCATGAAAAGGCAAAAATGAATCTAAAATTCTCATTTATTTAGTGAATGAAATATTTTTTTTTAAATGAAATCTTAAGAGATCTGCTTCTAAAGGAAAAGATCTAATTTACTATGAAACATCCTCTACTTTTGGAATATTTTTAGGAATACCTTTGTATATGCTAAATATTTTAAGTCTTCAGTCATCATTTGTCATCCATCAAAAATGTTTCTTGCTAAAAATGACAGAATGAAGATTATAGAGCATTACTTTCATAATATTGATGTAAACTATCGCTTAGCAAATTTACTAACTATGGCAGGGAGTTACTGAGTGCTGTCAAGTCAGAACCCACTCATAGCTGATACTCTGGTAGGTTTTCACAAGTTACAGGAGATTGCTCATCCTTCTCTTGCAGACCATTTGGTGGATTTGAACCATGTGCTTTGTGATTGTAGCAGTTTCTTACCACTAGGCCACCAGAGCTCTCTTACTTAAACAATACTGAAATGAAAAATAAGAGTGAAAATGGGGGGGGGGGGGAATTTCCCCAAGTCACTAAAATTGGAAAGGCACAAACTTTAAGGAAAAAAAAATTTTTTTGGAAGTATCTAGAGAAGCTGTTCACTCTCTTTTTTAGGCTCAGTCTCATTGCCATCCAGTCAGAACTGACTCACAGCTGACCTTTCAGGTGATTTCTGAGGCTGTAAATTATTTGGGAAGAGGAGATTCATCTTTTTCCTGAGGAGATGCTGGTGGATTCAGGCTTCCAGAGGCATAACCTTTGGGTTAACAGTGCAACTTTAGACTAGGTTGGAAGGTAGGAAGGTAGGAAAAGTAAAATTTTAGCTTGGGTGAGGGAGACTTCTTGAGTAAAACAAAGCACCTATTCAAAGCCATGTCTAAACAGAGACAGGATAACCATCGGCAGGAATGAATCCTAGCTTAACAAAATCTTTAAGTGAGCAGAGCCAGTTTCAACAATTTCAGGAAAATATAAAGCAGTAAAGGGTGTTGAAAAAAATTTATGCTGTCATTATGTCAAGGATATTATCTTCATTATCATAGATAAGAGGTATATATCCAGGAGAGTTAGATGGCAGAACCCTTCCCTTTTTCGTTGTGTGGACTGATTTTAGCTTAGGTTACACATCTATTTTTTTTTTAATATTGATGTAAATTTTCAATATAAAGTACCCAATTTGAGGAAATTGATAAAATTTATACTCATATGATTATCATCCTTGACATTCAGACATGTTTTCTAAAAACAGAATATGAAGAACACTGTATTTTAAGAAGATATTTGACCAAGGGAAAGAAGCATTTATAGGGAGATTAAAAAAAAATTTTTTACATTGTATAAATTTTTTTTAAAATGTTGGTTCAAAAATAAAGTTGGTTGAAATTTTTTATAACATTATATAAGCTGAATTTGGTCCATATCATCAATTTATAATCTTTGTCATTGTGTTTTGTAATACAGGTGACTATAAGCGGTATTAGAGCACAGCAAAGAATGTGGGGATGGGGGGAGGATTGGACAGGGTTTTGTGCTGTTGGAGATGGGGTCACTGTGAGTTGAAGCCAGATTGATGGCACCTCACAATAGCAGAGGTATGAAGATTTGGAAATGAATTTGAGAGGTGGTGGTAGGAACCAAGTTGACAATTGGTTGGCGTACCATTTTAGTGACTCAGATTGTGATGGGTATAATGCCATCACAGACATGGAACCTCTGAACTGAGAGACAATCCCTTTAAGGTCTGCTGCTTCAATTGCTTGCTGTCCCTAAAATGAAAATAAACTCACTGCCATCAAGTAAATACCAACTCACAGGGACTCTATGTACAATGGATCAAGGTCAACAATACCCATGAGTTACTGAAAACATGCAATGTGGCTAGGGCAGATTGAGCTGAGCATGAAGTGTAAAATAAAAGCAAATTTTGAGGATTTAATATGCAACAAAAAAGTGTTAAGCATCCCACTAACAACTCTTCATATTGATTATATTGGAATGGTAAAGACTCCTAGCGACCCTATGGACAAAAGATCTAAACCCTGTTCTAGAACTATCATTGTTTGTCTAATGTTCAGAGTTTCCAAAGGCATGTTGTTTAGCAAGTGGATGCCAATCCTGTTTCCAAATTAGTATATTAGATATATTGGGTTAAACAATTTTTAGTTTTAAGTTTTTCTTAATATAGTTATAAGGGAGGTCTGGTGGCACAGTGTGCAGTAAGTTGAACTGTAAACACAAAGGCCGTACCTCACATTTGAAATCTAATATGTTATCTGCTTCATCTATTATGTTATCTGCTTCAGAAATGCACTGGAGTTTCAACTTCACTGTAATGACTGACTTATGGCCTACATTTCTATTACAGCTCTGTTTAGGCTAATCTTCATAGGTGAGAAAAAAGGTGACCCTCAATGAAATGGATCAAGATATTGGCTGCAATAGCAAGTGTAAGCACAGCAGATTGTGAGAATGATGCAGGACTGGGCTGGGCTTTGCTCCACTGTATACAAGATGCTCTGAGTTGATGGCATCTAATAACTCTCTAAATTTTCCAGAATAATCTACTACTTTAAGCAATGAGCTGACCCAAATACACTTATACTTGGGAAACTTACTCCATGAATGTTCTTCTACTTTATAAAAACAAAACAAAACAAAACAAAAACCAAACATTGATTACCAAATGTTATTAAGTTTCTCTGGCTTACTCCTAAGGGAATTTAATAAAAATCTATACCTAAATGCCAACAAAATGCCCACAGGCTTCCTTAAGATGAAAAAGGAAGATTTTTGTATTTCACCATTTTTAAATTCTTTACAGTGACTAACCTCTAAATTATTTGGCTTCATAAAAGCAGTCTTCAAGACAGCAATGCAAATTAATTGTATTCAACTATGCTACATAGTTTTACTATATAGTCAACCTAGTTTAAAGGATACTTTAGTAGCCTAGGGAGTATGGAGTTGTGCTACCAACCCAAAGGCCCATAGTTTGAATCCACCAGTGGCTCCAAGGAAGAAAGACAGGCAACTTCCTCCTATGCAGCTTCAGCCTTGGAAAACCCGCTGGAAAGCACATAACAATAACAAGAAGCTTTTAAAGTGACAGGTAGCTTTCTTTACCTTTATTAATTTATCTTCATTTTTACTTCCAGCACCCAGTAGTTCAATGTTCAGTTCTTGTAATACGCACTTGGGCACTTGCCTTGTTTCAGTAGTTTTTCTTTCATGGACAGTCTCTAAAACAGGATCTTCAACCAATTCTGATTTATTATTTCCAGTAGATCCCAGTAATGACTGATTTTCCAAAGATAATTTTCTAAGAGAGGGTTTTTTCCTACTCACAAAAAATGCTGCTCCACCCTGGAGAGTAACTTGTGGTTTTACTTTTTGGCTTAGAACTCTAGGAGCATTCAGATTATTCTCAGCAGAATAACAATTATTTTCTTTATCCACAAGTGGCTTATAAATCACTTTATTTTGCTTGGAATTTTTAGACTTCCTTGATTCAGGCTTGATGCAGTTATAACCTGATTGATTCTTAGCAGTTAAGCTTTTCTGTGGTTTTTTGTTTGTCTTCTTTGAGCAAGGCCGTTTTCTCTGGATTTTTTCTGTCACTTTGGGCAAAGACTTATCTTCACTATTAGTTTTTTGATAACTGGCTCTACTTTCTTTTATCAACTTTCTTTCCAATGGGTTGAGGTACCACTTATCTTTGTTGTAAAATGATACAGTAGAAACAACAGATTTAAATGGCAAATTTTGATTTGCAGATGGCAAACTTTTTTTAACTGTTGGAAATGAGTCAGTATTAAATGAACTTGATGTGAAAAGATCTTGTTGAAAGCTAAGCATCTCTCCTTCGTTTTTATCACTGCTTTGATGAATGTGCTTTTTATTAGCTGGTAGAAATATATTTTCTGTGCGATTCAAGATTAATTCCATTGAGGGAATGTCCGATAAGCTGTAACAAAACAAAACAAAAAAACACCCAAAATCAAGTGCACTGGTAAGTGTCATTATTTTGCCGCAATATTTACTTCAACCTATTTCTAAATAATAAACAACTCTACCTATCTCTGTAGTCACTGTATAAAAAGGAATTGGCAGACACAAAAGAATTTCACTAAACAACATATAAGCAAGAGCCTATGGTGATAAAGGAAGAAGTTCAGGCTGCTTTCAAGGAAATAGCAAAAAAATAAGGCCTCAGTAATAGATGGTATACCAACTGACATATTTCAGCTAACAGATGCTGCCCTGGACGTGCTCACCAAATTGTGCCAAGAGGAGAACAACCACATTTGACCAACTAACTGGAAGAGATCTATTTGTTCCCATCCCAAAGAAGGGTGACCCAACAGAGTGTGGAAACTATAGAACAATATCATTGATTTCACATGCAAGCAAGATTCTACTGAAGATTATCCAAAAACGACTGGAACAGCATATCAACAGAGAACTGCCAGAAGTCCAGGCTGGGTTTAGAAGGGGTCGTGGTACTAGGGATATTGTAGCTAATGTTAGATGGATCTTAGCTGAAAGCAGGGGCTACCAGAGGAATGTATATCTGTGTTTCATTGACTACACAAAGGCGTTTGACTGTGTGGATCATAACAAACTGGCTGACTCTGAGAAGAATGGGAATCCCAGAACACTTGATCGTGCTAATGAGAAACCTATACTTCGACCAAGAAGCAGTTGTCAGAACAGAGCAAGGAAACACTGCATGGTTCAAAATTGGGAAGGGCGTACGTCAGGGATGTGTCCTGTCTCCATACCTTTTCAACCTGTATGCAGAAGAGATTATCGGGAGGCTGGGCTCTATGAGGAGAAATGTGGTGTCAGGATTGGTGGTAGATCTATCAACAATCTGCGTTATGCAGATGACGCAACCCTGCTTGCTGAAACTGAGGAGGACCTGAAATGCTTGCTACAGAGGTTCAAGGACTGCAGCCTTCAGTATCGATTGAAGCTCAATGTTAAAAAGACCAAGATTCTCACCACTGGACCAACTGGCAGCATCAGGATGGATGGTAAGGAGATTGAGATTGTTCACTGCTTTAGTTTGCTTGGCTCCACAGTCAACACTCTTTTGGCACCAGTAGCCAGGAAATTAAAAGACGTATTGCCATGGGAAAGTCTCCTGTTAGGGACCTCTCCAAAGTACTGAAGAGCAATGGTGTTGTCTCTGGAGACTAATAGGTCTTTGTTATCACTTGTTATGCATCAGAGAGTGGGACAATGATAGAAGGAGAATTGATGCCTTTGAGCTGTGGTGTTGGAGAAGAGTGCTGAGGGTGCCATGGACTGCTAGGAAAAGAAACAGATTCATCCTGGAAAGGGTAAAACCGGGTGGCTCCCTGGAGGCAAGGATTCTGAGGCTCTGTCTAACATACTTTGGACATGTTGTAAGGAGGGACCAGTCGTTGGAGAGGGACATCATGCTTGGTAGGGTGGAGGGACAGCACAGGAGGGGAAGGCCCTCTATGAGGTGGATTGATTCAGTGACTGGGGTAATCGGGATGGAGTGTCAGAGACAGTGCGATTGGCACCGGACAGAGCAGAGTTTAGGGCTGTTGTACATAGGGTTGCTATGAGTTGCAAGCGACTCAACGGCACATCATAATCATAACAACCACCACCACCATCTATCTCATATTAAAAACAATACTACATACTCATGGATATTATCTATTAATAGTAAAGTAACAGTCTTTACTCAATAAAGTATCCAATAGCTTTAAAAAGGAAGATTTCAATGCTGTTCATGAAAGCAGTAGTGTTTATAAAGAAGCTTTGATATACATATATATGCTTTAAAATCTATTCCCAAGTGTTGACCATATGCAAGTTATATTCATACTCTTTGTTCAATGGTTACATTAAGTTTACAAGATGACTCATTCTTTGGAATAAAATGATCCTAAGGCTTGTTCTATTGGAAGTAACTTTTAGCTCTGTTATGACATATAAGTACTGAGTATACAGATTCTCTAATATAACAGATAAGAATCTATTGTATACAAAACACTATTTTAAATATTACAAGAGAATGGAAAGGCACTCAAGAACCCAACACCTCAAAACTCATTGCCATCAAGTTGAAACAGACTCATAGCTGGCTCTCTACTGGTTTTCCAAAGCTGTTAATTGCATGAGAGGGGATTGCCACTCTTCTCTCCACAACCTACTGGTGGATTCAAACTGAGCTGGGTTATCAACACAACTTCCTATGGACTATGGCACCTCTTTTAGCTAAAGAAAACAGCTTTTACTGTGGTTTTCTTCAAAAGGGCTAAAAATTCATTAATAAAACGTATAGTACCTTCATATTAAAATATTACTGTAGGAGCAAGAGGTACACCAATGGAATACAAATTTTAAGAGACCGTACTTCTCTTTATAAAGGTTTCTATTCTTAGACTGTAGTAATAGGTCAAGTATCTTGAGGATAGTGAGCATGGCTCAGGATAGGGGAAGGTTTGTTGTTCATCAGGTCGCTATGAGTCATAGTCTACTCAAGGGCACATAATAATAATATTCTTAGGATGAGACTCACCTATCATAATTTAAAGAATGATGCATCCTTTTCCTTGGGGCAAAAGCCTCCATCTTCTTAAATGGACTCCTAAAAGTAATAAAGCAGTTATACTCCAATTTACCAGAGAATATAGAAATTACCATCTCAAAATTATACGTTAAAATTCAAAAGAAAACTGAAAATATTTAAACGCTGGAAAAAATTCCTTAAAGGTTCAAGCAAAAAAGCTTAAAAAAATAATTACTGATGCCCAGATCTTTGGAACAAGACTTCCTCTGGCTAATTTTTCCTCTTTCAAGTAAAAAAAAAAAAAAAAGGAATAGTTAAAGCATGAAGTTAAAAAGAAACATAACCACAACACAGTAGTAAATAAGAATAGGAAACAAAAATAAAAATAATAACATGTTTCAAGCAGAAAAGGGCATTGCCAAGAAGGAAGTTTTTTTAACCCTTATTCAGGGAACAGTTAAAGCATGAAGTTAAAAAGAAACATAACCA